GAACTTAAAGAGGTAATTAAAAAACTCCCAACAAACAAAATTCCTAGACCTGATGGCTTCATAGGTAAATTTTATCAAACATTTAAACAAGAACTAACACCTACCCTTCCAAAATTTCAAGAGGAGGGAAGATTCCTACATTCATTTTATGAGACCGGAATTATCCTAATTATAAACCAGATGGTACAAATAATTAGAATTATGGCCAATATCTGTAATGAACTTACACAGTATAGTCCTCAACAAAGTACTAGCTTACTGGAACTAGCAATACATTAAAAAGATCATATCCCACAATCAAGTGAGTTTTATTCTAGGGATGCAAGTTTGGTACATTCACAAATCAATAAACAAGATATATCACCTAAACAAATTAAAGGATACAAATCTCATGATTATGTCAATAGATTCAGAAAAAGCAACTGATAAAATCCAGCACCCACTTTTGGTAAAACTCTCAGCAAAGTGGGAATACAGAAAACACCTCAATGTTATGAAGGCCAAGTATGACAAAATCACAGCCAACATTATAGTCAATAGACAAAAACTAAAAGTGTTTACCCTAAGGTCAGGAATAAGACAGAGATGCCTGCTTTCAGCACTCTTATTCAACATAGAATTGGAAGTCCTAGCCATAGCAATCAGAGAAGAACAATTAAAAGGCATCCAATTGGAGAGGAAGAAGTAAAACTGTCATTATTCGCAGATGACATGATACTATATATTACAGAACCCCAAAATCTCCACCAAGAAACTTTACTAAAACATAAATGAATTCAGTAAAGTAGCAGTACACAAAATAAATATCCAGAAATAGTTGTATTTTTATATATCAATAACACTCAAAAAATAAACTAAGACTGCAATCTCGTTTACAACTGCACCAAAAAATAAAATACCTAGGAATAATTTAACCATGGATGTAAAAGACCTATATGGGGGAAGTTATAAGAATCTGTAGAAATGAAAGAAAAATAGCACATGATCTCACTTATATGTGGAATCTAATGAACACAGCGACCTATTGAACAACATAATAACAGAAGAATAGATACATAAAACCAATTGACAGCAGATGGAAAGCAGAGTGGGTGATGAGATGAAAGATGATGAGGAGATTAACTAAAGAACATTTATGGAAAACACATGGCCATGGACAACAATATGGATTGGGTTGGGATGGGCAGAGGGTGAGTGCAGGGTAAATTGAGGCAGTCTGACTTTCTCACCCAGGTGCCTGGGTAACTAATGGAAGCAGTGTTTCCATAACCTTGAATGGGCCTGATAAGTCGTGTTCCATAGGCTTGAAATGGAGTCCAATAAACTGTTCCCATAACAATAAGTGGGCTCACATGGGCAGAATTTTGCTATATTATATAATTTTCTGGCTTGAAGCTGGCTTTGTTTGTTCTAGTATTTAAAGGGGACTAGGGGTTCCCTGCTGTGTGCCATGCTGGGGAGCAAGGGGCACACTGCATGCCACAGAAGGGGACAGGTGACATGCAGAGACTTGCAGAGACATGCAGAGAGATATGCAGCTTGCAGTGTGCATGGCTTGTCCACCTGTGAATAAAGGCATGCCTAGCATCCCCACAGCTCTACATATTTTCTTCTGTCTCCCAGAATCTAGAGTGGACCATCCAGACCTTGATAGGCTGCAACAGTGTGACTGGGTAGATGTGGGGAAATGGAGAAAAAATTGTATCAACAGGAACAGCACAAATAATTAAAAAATAAAAAGAAAATGCTCCCCCCTGAAAGAAATCTGAAGGAATAAATTGAAGAAGACACAAATAATTGGAAGCATACATTGTATTCATGAATAAGAAGCATTATTCAAGTGACAATACTACCCAGAGCAATCTATAGATTCAATGCAATTCCTATAAAAACACAATGGTGTATTTCATAGAACTAGAACAAATAAACCTAACATTTAATGGAAGCACAAAAGACCCAGAATAGCCCCAGCAATTTCAAAGAAGAAGAGGAAATTTGGAGGAATAATGCTATTTGATATCAAACTATACAACAAGGTCAGAGTAATCAAAACAACATGGTACTGACATATGGATCAATGAATCAGAACAAAGAGTGTAGAAATAATCCCATTTCTTTATGGTCAATTAATGTTTGCCAAAGGAGGCAAGAAAATACAGTTCATAAAGGTAATGTATTCAATGCATGGTGTTAGAAAAATTGGATAGATACATGCAAAAAAATTAAATGCAACTACCTTCTTCCACCATACATAAGAAGAATAAACTCAAAATGAATTAAAATCTTAAATTTTAGGCCTGAAACCATAAAAATTCTAGGAGCATAAGCAGTCGTAAAATCTTAGACATTTCTCATAGCAATATTTTTATGATATATCTGTTTGGGCAAGGGAAACAAAAATACAAAGAAATGGGACTACATCAAAATAAAAATCGTTTGCTCTGTCTCATGTAGCTCAGTGGATTGAGCGTGGGCTGAGAACCAAAGGGTTGCTGGTTCCATTTCCAGTCAGGCATATGCCTGGGTTGCAGGCCAGTTCCGCAGTGGGGGTCACATGAGAGGCAACCACACACTGATGTTTCTCCCCCTCTCTGTGTCCCTCCCTTCCTCTCTCACAAAAAAATAAATTAAAAAAATAAAATAAAAATTTTTTGCACAGCAAGTTAAACCATCCCCAAATTGAAAAGACAACCCATTAAATGGAGAACATATTTGCCAATTACAAAGGATTAATACTCCATATTTATAAACTTGTACAACTCAAACCAAAAAACCAAACCAAAACAAAACAAGCAATTCAATTAAAAATGGGCAAAGGATGTGAATAGACACTTCTCCAAAGAGGACATACAGATGGCCAATAGACATGAAAAGATGTTCAACATCGCTAATCACCAGAGAAATGCCAATTAAAACCACAGTGACTTATCACCTGACTCCTGTCAGAATGGCTATCATCAATAAATAAACCAGGGACATTGAAATTAAGAACAAACTGACAGTAACCAAAGGGGAGGTCGGAGGGGATAATGGGAAGGAAAGGGGGAAGAGTTTTCAGGAACATCTATAAAGGACACATGGACAAAACCCATGACGGGTAGGATCAAGGGTGGGATGTGGGGATGGCTGGGGTAGAGTGGTGTGATCAGGGGGTGAAATGGAGATAACTACTTAAGCAACAGTAAAGAAAAGTTAAAAAAATTAATCAACAAGCAGCAAGTGTTTGTGAGGATGTGGAGAAAAGGAATCCCTCATGCACTGTTGGTGGGAAAGCAGATTGATGCAGCCACTGTGGAAAACAGTATGGAGTTTCTTAAAAAAATTAGAAATAGAACTGCTTTATGACCCAAAGATTCTACTTCTGGAAATATATCCAAAGAATCCTGAAACACTGTTTTGAAAGAATATATGCGCCTCAGTTTTCATTGCAGTGTTATTGGCAATAGCCAAGACTTGGAAGCAGCCTGAGTGCCCATCAGTAGATGAGTGGATAAAAAAGTTGTGGTACATTTACACAGTGAAACACTGCTTGGCTGTAATTAAAAAGAAATCTTACTTTTTCTGACAGCATGGATGGACCTGGGGAATTCGTTTTTTTTTAGTTCTTCTTCTTTTTATATTTTAGTTTTCATTATTATTATTTTTAGACACGGAGAGTAGTATGCTAAGTGAAATAGGTCAGTCAGAGAAAAATGAGTACCATATGGTTTCACTTATATGTGGAACCAAATGAACAAAATAAACTAACAAACAAACTAGAAACAGATTCATAGATAACAAGAATGAATGGACAGCTGTCATAGGGGAAAGAGGGTAGAGTTAAATGGCGATGGGATTAAGGAAAAAAAAAGAAAATGAAAATTCAATGTAGACACAAACAACAGTATGGTGGTTGCCAGAGGGAAAGGCTGTGGGGGAGGTAGAAGAGGTGAACAGGGGATTAAATGAGGATGGAAGGAAACTTGACTCGGGGTGGTGAACACACAATATACAAATGATGTACTATACAATTGTGCACTTGGCAGTTATATAATTTTATTAACCAATGTCACCCCAACAAATTCAATGTAAAAAAAGAAGAAAAGGACTTGATATGACAGCAGCCCTACATCTACAGCACAGATATCTGTGAGACCCCCAAATGGATTTATGAAAATAGCCATTTGGCATATTTAAAGGGCCATATTTTTGGACCATAAGATGCACCTTGGTTTTAGAGGAGGCAAATAAGGAAAAAAAATTGAAGCAAGAAATGTGGTAAAATATTTAATAACATAAATAACATACTTCACCAATGTAAATGTAAACAGAACTCAACAGTGGCATTAACAACCATTATTCCTCCCAAACTGGGGGGAGAGAGTGCATCTTATAGTCCAAAAAATATGGTAGGTGGTTTTCTAATTTAATAACACATGTAAATTTTATGGAAAAAATTAGGATTTTGGCTGCCTTTCAAAATAGTAACAACAAACATCTCTTAATGCACAACATTCAAAATCCCAAAGCAGACTGCAGAAGAAAAAGAGAAAGTTTCTCCTTAGAAGCATAAATCTTAAATGAGAAAATAGAACTTATATCATATTCTTGGTAGAGACAACATAATTATCTTCCCATTGAATGATCAATTCAATGAATGAGCAGACATACAAGTCAGACACTGCTTTTTTTAATTGAAGAAAGAAACTTGTCTGAATTTATAAAATTCCTGCAACTTGGAAGTTGGAAGTGAGGAGTATAGGTGAGCTTTCTCCTGGGAAAAGGAAGGGCCAAACCCTTGGAAGTACCTTCCATTTTCCCCTTCTGTTAATAATAGCAAGTCCTCAGAGACTAGGATAACACAGACTGATTTGGCTAATTATGAGCTCTGAGCATTGAGCTCCCAAGTCCATGCAAAAATGAATCATCAGCTTTGCCTCTAGCCCTTGAAGTTCTCCATCTCAGTCCAGTGGGCTTCACATTGGAGTCTTCCCATCTCACGTCACTGCATCAGGAGGCCCATGACAAACTTGGCCATACTGCCAGCCCTGGGGATGGAGCCTGAACCTTCAGTGCCCATGCAGGGCAGCAGCAGTGGATTATCACTGCCTGATCCTCCTGCAGCAGAGACAGAACAGCCCAGTGAGTACTGTGGAGATGATGGATGGAGCAGGGACTGTCAGGAGCATTTTCTCTTTCATCATTAGGACAAATAGGAGAGTTGGGGCAAACAGATGGGAGGGCACCAACATGGAAAGTTTCAGATATTTCGATCCCTGTACAGGCAGATTCTGAATATGTGGAGGGAAACAATGGTCCAATTCATTTCTGATGCCCCAGGACCTACATTCTGCTCAGCAGAGATCAACAACAATCTGTGTTAAATATTGAGCAGACTCTGTCTTGGATCTCAGAAACAGAGAGTAGGCAATATTGCTTCCACACAGCAGGTGCTGTTCTTCCTGTGCTTTCATTCTTCCAGCAATGTCTCAGAGGACTAGAAGGGAGATACGACTGTGCCTGCATGTATCAATGGCACTGATTTTCTAAGAAATCTATCAATGTTCATTTAATAGCATTTACAACACTTAAATATAAAGAAAAACTGTGGAGATTTTCATAAATAGAAAAAAATTAAAACAAAGGAAAAGAGAAAGAAAAGTCAATGTTACTATGTGGACTGAGACATATGTTAGGATTTCTACTTACTCCACAAAGGAATTACCTGGGACTTGATAGGCTTCCTCCCTTCACCGCTATCTGATGGAATAATATGTCATTACACCTTTCTCACAATTGTTTTCATCAACAAACCTGCTATTTCAACCTGATTTCAAAAGCATGACTGAACATTTCTTGAGGGCAAACCTCTGTTAGATGTCATATGTTTCCCAGAGGTGAGTGTTATTCTTTCATTTCTATATAAAGAGATACCTTCCCAGAGGGGTGGAGAGATCATACACACTTCACATTGAGTGGGTGACAGCTGGGGGACTCCATCCCCGATTCTGACCCCAGGGCTCTGTCCCATTCACACTGATTGTTTCTTTCCAAACCTGCTTTATCCTCAGATCAGCAAACAGGGGCTCAACCACCAATTCCTCTCTTGCGAATGGGTGAGTTCACCCATGAATTAACAAAATGTACCCAGAGGTTTGCAGGGACTTTACTGAATAAATGTGTGGATCCTGGGGGTTTGTATGAATAGCAATGCATATGTGAGAACATTTTGTAAAGCTGAGATATGGCGATACCATTCCCCATATGAGATGGGAACTTTCATGTGGCTCTACCATGAAAAGACTACTGCTAGTCAGACGTCAGGGAACTTGCTAATTTCATCCCTTGGCAATCATTTTTGTCTCATTTTTCTATTGGGAAAATAAATATAGGTAATTAATAGTAAAATTGTACATATATCAACTTTTTTTTACAACTCAAATCTTTTATGCTTATGTCTTTAAGATTCTCACTTATATGATGTGGAAAGGGGCATAAGAATTTTCTTAACTACTGTCACAACAAAAAACTGAAGAATGGGGGAAGGGTTTTCAGGAACAAGTATAAAGGACAGATGGACAAAACCAAAAGGGTGGAAGCAAGAAAGGGAGGAGGATTTGGTTGGGGTGGGGGAGGAGTAGTGGGTGGTAAACGCAGACCACTGTAATTAAACAACAGTAACATAATAAAAACAACATAAAAAAAGAATAAAATAAAGTTTACCGCACAGGCAATGCTGTGCATCATTTAAAGTCCTGAAATATGCCCTGGCTGGTATGGCTCAGTGGATTGACTGCCGGCCTGTGAACTGAAGGATCACTGGTTTGATTTCCAGTAAGGACACATGCCTAAGTTGTGGGCCAAGTCTCCAGTTGGGGGTTCGTGAGAGGCAACCACACATTGAGGTATTCCTTCCTCCCTTCCTCTCTCTCTAAAAATAAATAAATATGATCTTTAAGAAATAAAGTGCTGAAATAAATGTATGTATTTCACAGAGAGACTTAAAATGCAAAGCTATGGTAAATGAGAACTCAGGGAACCATATTGTAGCATGTAAGTATTTAGGCTAGTTTTTAGGAAAACTGATAAAAATAAATAAATCATTATCAATATGAAAATATTGAAAGGAAAATGCATCCACTAGATTCATGACAGTTTCTGCTTTTGGACAACTGAAGCACAGGAGAAGATCATGCAGGGATAGGAAAAAACCTCAAGTTTTATCAATAATAAGTGTATAAAGAGCCCATGGACAAAGGCAAGGGCAGGTGGGAGGATTGAATGTGGGAGGCAGGGGTGGGTAGGCAGGGTCTATGGGGACAACTGTAATTGAACGACAATAAAAATCAATATAATTTCTACAGCATGCATTATTAAATATTTATATTTTAATATGGGTAGTAATTAAAATGGTTTTGAAAAGAACTGATAACATTAATACATTTATTGTCTGACAATGGTCATCTGCTCTAGCTTTATGATAGTATGCAAAAAGGACTTATGTGTGGAATTTCTGATTTAACTGGTTCTAGTTTATGGCCAGCCCATCACTAAATTTTTTAATTATTATTTTTATCATATTCTTTCTGTTGCCATTTATCTCCCCTAAACCTCCTACTACCTACACTGACTCATCCCCACCACAATGACCACACTGTTGTCTGTGTCCATAAGTTCTTTCTCTCTCTTTCTTTTTTGCTCAATTCCCCCTCCCCTAAGTCCTCCACTCCCAGAGCTGCCAGCCTGTTCTCTATCTATGAGTCCGTCTCTATTTTGCTTGTTAGTTCGGTTTGTTCATTTGATTCTACATATAAATGAAATCATATGGTACTTGTGTTTCTCTGACTGGCTCATATCACTTCTCTCTAAATTTTAAAAGATGGATAGGTAATTATAATATCAACCAGCATTGATAACCACCGTTTAACTATTTTATGTTTATATAATTTTATTAACCAAGGGTGGGTAGAGTCAGGGGAGGAAGGTAAGGATGGTTGGGGTTGGGGGGAGTGGGGGAAGAAAAGTCAGACAACTGTACTTGAACAATAATGAAGTTTAGAAAATGGAAAAAATTTAACTTTATTTCTTACAACAACACTATAATGTCAGTTCAATTAGTATACCTATTTTACATATGAACAAACTCCCAAAATGTGGTAATATTAGTCTTTGTTTTTTCTCTTTTGATTTTCCCAAGCTATATCACTTTTGATGCGAAATAGTTATGATATAGTTTATATAAATGTAGGTAGTATTTACAAATTAGAAATGACCAGCTATATCCATAGGAATCTAGAATGTCACACAAAGGAAGAAATATGTTGACAATGTAATGCTTCAGTAATTCATCATGTTTTGACCTGTCAGGAGAAATGACCTGAGTAGCATTTAGGGAGCTGAACTGAGGAGAAATGCAATCCCTCTCTCAGGAAGAATTGACTTGAAATGACTTAGGCTGGCATAAGAAAGCCAGCATATGGTTTGAGGCCTGGCTTTGTCCTCAGTTTCCCAACCATTTGTTAGAGGGTTGGATTTGATAAGAACTCAACACTTCACAAATGTTTGTGGTTACAGAGAAATGTAAGTTTTACCTAGCCACAATGAACAAAAACAGGAAAGTACAAACTGAAGCACAGATGTTACTCTGAGATTGTGTATCACTGACAGAAAATAAGTTTTTACAGAAGAAAAGTGGGTACAGAGTGATCATGAACATGAATTATTATTTAATCACTGGTGCACTGTAAACTACCACCATCTTTGAGATCAGGGATGCTGTATAATTCTGTGCATTTAACAAAGACATATTTTGCAAAACACGAAGTCCACTAAGGCCAAAATTAGACATATTTGAGTTACAGTTGAAGGACTGACTTTGACAAGACAACCCACATATTTGAGTGAACACTTATCTGCATGGAAGATGGATGTCGTAGATCCAAGTAAAGATGAAAACCCTTGAAGATAATTGCCATACAAAAGTCTATCTGCTTATGAACATTTTATTTGAAGATAGAATACAATTAATGTGGTTTTAGCTCTTCAATACTATATTCCAAATTAAGAGAATTCTGGCACTGCATCTAAGTGAAATAAAGTACATTCAGCTGCTTCTTAGTGGTTTCCAATTAAGATTTATTCTTAGAAAACAATATGTCCCATTATATATATATATATATATATATATATATATATATATATATATATATGTATATAATTTATTTATTTATTTTTAGACAGAGTGGAAGGGAGGGAGAAAGACAGATAGAAAAACATCAATGTGTGGTTGCCTCTTGCTCTCCCCACACTGGGGAACCTGGCCTGCAACCCAGGCATGTGCCCTGACTGGGAATTGAACTGACAACCCCTGTTTCACAGTCCGGCACTCAATCCACTGAGCCACACAAGCCAGGGCCCAGTCAATAGTTTTACTTCCAAAGTACAAGGCTGATATCTTTCTCTGTTTATGAAGTTTTTTTTATCTCAAGAGTCCTTTCCTCTCTAATATTCTTTGAGCCAGGGTCTCTACAGTGGGTATTTATGGAAACAGGGGAATAGCCCAGACATCCATTAAGAAATACTTCTAAAAGAGTTCACAACTGAGAAATGTTGCCGAAGATTAAGGGGTGATGGTGGGTGGTGTATGGTCCTGAAGCTCAAGTGTGATTCCTTTTTTTGTGAATTCCTTGAATGCAAAAACTGGATGTGTCTACACTTGTTTTAATTATTCAACACTCTCTTCTTTTTCAAACTGTGTCCTCTCTGAATAGTACAACAGAATCGAACAGGTAACTCTGAATTCTCCCTCCTGGGACTGTCAGATGATCCAGAGCTGCAGCCTCTTCTGTTTGGGCTGTTCTTGGCCATGTACTTGGTGACCATGCTGGGGAACCTGCTCATCATCCTGGCTGTCAGTTCTGACTCCCACCTCCACACACCTATGTACTTCTTCCTTTCCAATTTGTCCCTGACTGACATCAGTTTCAGCAGCACTACAGTCCCCAAGATGCTGGTGAACCTCCAGACATACAGCAAGTCAATCACCTATGCAGGCTGCCTAACTCAGGTCACATTTTTTTCTCTGTTTGCATGTTTGGAGAGTCTACTTCTGGCTGTGATGGCCTATGACCGCTTGGTGGCCATTTGTCAGCCTCTACACTACCTGGTGATCATGAACCCCCGCCTCTGTGGCTTGTGTGTCCTCCTATCATTTTTCACCAGCTTTTTGGTCTCCCAGCTGCACTACTTAATGGTATCACAACTTACCTTCTGTGCCTATGTGGAAATTCCTCATTTCTTTTGTGATGCTTCTCAACTCCTCAAACTTGCCTGTTCTGACACCTCCACTAATAACATATTGATCCATTTTTTTGGTGCTCTCATTGGTGGTGTTCCACTCTCTGGGATCCTGTTTTCTTACACTCGAATTGTTTCCTCCATTCTGAGAGTCCCATCATCAGGGGGGAAGTATAAGGCCTTCTCCACCTGTGGCTCTCATCTGTCAGTTGTTTGCTTATTTTATGGAACAGGCCTTGGTGTGTACCTCAGTTCCACCGTGTCATCCTCCCTGAGGAAGGGTGCAGTGGCCTCGGTGATGTACACTGTTGTCACCCCCATGCTGAACCCCTTCATCTACTGCCTGAGGAACAGGGACATCAAGAGTGCCCTATGGAGGGTGATCAGAAGGATAACCTAGTTTTATACCTATGGATTTTTTTTTGCTCATAGACTGGAAATACTAGCAAAGTCAAACATGTACAATAAGAATTCTGAATCCACAGTCTCATGGTGTATTTGCACCCGTATGGAGCTGCTCTCTGTCTACACAATTTTCCCTCTTAGCATAGTTGTAATGGATTCAGAGGTTGTTTGGGCTCTGTACTTCAGGGAGAGTTCCCCCCGGATAATGCACAGCCTGTCAGTATACCCATCTCGCTTTCCTGTGCATTACCCAGGATTCTTGGTCCTAATTGTTGTGATTGTGTCATTACAAAATATCACAGCTCCCTCCTGTGTGGTGTTTATTCTTTGTACAATTTCCCCATGATTCTTCTAAATTTTTCTATATTTTTGCTCCTTCATGATCATGGTCAGTCGCTTGAGAAGATAGAGTATTTAATTTCTTTTCCACACCAACATATTTTGAAATTGAAATGTGATGGCATTAATACTGAATTTGAATAAATACTTATCAACTGGGAGATTCGTAGAAAAACTGGGATGTAAGGTTTCCAGTATTCTGATAATTCTATTTCCCCTTCCATCTAACATCTCCTCATCAATTTCGCAGCTGGACATACAAGGACAAATAGTATATAATTTCACTTAATTTAGATTTTACCTAAATTACTGAAATCCATAGAGACATAGAGTAGAATATTCATTGTCAGGGGATAGGGGAAGAGGGAACAGGGAGGTAGCATTTAATTGGGAAATAACAAGTGCCATGTTTGCAAGATGAAAAGACTTGTGGAGATGGATGGTCATGGTGTGGTACAGGAATGTGAATTTATTTAATGGTACTGAATGGGACACTTAAAATAATTAAGATGGCAAATTTTCCACTTGATTATTTTACTACATAAAAGAAATGATGTCATACTAGAGATGAGGGACATGTTGCTCCAAATGCCAAATTTACCACTCAGCCCTCAGCATCAGCTTCCATAGGGACCTGCCTGAACTACAGAGACCCATCATAACCAAGGTCATGGCTCCTTCTGCAGCTGCCCACATCCTATGATATTTGGCCTCTTGACACCAGTTCCAGCCAACTTGAAAGATTCATCTACTGGGGGCTGGGGGTGGACTGGGATGGGAGTAAAAGACAGAAAACTGTACTTGAACAACAATTAAATTAAAAAAAAATTAAAGTAAAAACAAAACAAAGATTCATCCTAGATCCAGAGCTCCCTGGTGATTTTAGGAGGTCTTTGATGGGCTTCAACTTGGCTTGATTTTTGCACTGCCCTTGGTTGCTATAAAGTGTTCGCCAAACCACACATAGAGGGAACAGTCTCTGCAGGAGTGTCTTCAATTCAGATACTGGACACATGTTCAGGAGTCCCCAGACACCCTCACTTCAGATGAGCAGGCCACAATTAAGGGACTCCGTTACTTATAAGGATTTTCTAGAATGACTCAAAGCAAAGGAATTCCCTCAGGTTCAATAATTCACCAGAATGAGCCACAGAACTTAAGACAGTGTTAGACTTATGATTACACTTGGCTATAGCAAAAGAATACAAAATAGGACTGGTCAAAAGAAGATACACATGGTGAAATATCTGAAATATCACGTAGGTAAATCTTCTTGTGTTTCTCTACCAATGAGGTTTAAATCCATTACCTCATTCTGGCCACAATGTGAGACAACAGTCAGAGTCTTCCTTGCAAGACTCTGTGGTACTCTGATGTAGCACACCTGAATTTTAGTGTCCAGAGATTTTACTGAGGCTTCATTTCATTGGTGGAATACACTGAATCATTTCCCATTTGGTTGAACTCACTCTCTAGCCTTCCTCCCCAGACACTGGGCCGCCTTCAGTTCCCCTAAGGCACCAACCCTTCACATACATGCTTGGTCTCTTTGGCACAACCCATTGCCATCTTCAGTCATCTCATCAGCATAAACCATCAGGTATGGTCGGTCCATGGAGTCCCCCACAAAAACCAATCAGTTCTCTCACTAGCTAAATTTCAAGGGCTTAAGGGTTACCTCCCAGGACCTGGGGAAAAGGCCATATCTCTGTGTAAATAATGACAAATTCTTTCCACACATCTGCTCTTCCCCAGGTGTTGAGTCCAGGAGTGCTACCTGGTAACCTTCCTGCATGTTCATCACTGTCTCTGAGTCTCTTTGTGAGGAAGCCAGCTTGGGATAACTACTTACTAATAAGATTACTTTGGGATGATTTTAACACAGTTCCAAGGTAGTTTTCTTAAATAGTCAGCAATGCTTTATAAGTTACAATTCCAGTGCTTGCCTCATAGGTCCCCATAGAAAATCATAATCAATCTAGAAATCCAATTTCAGAAATACTTGATATAAAGGGAGAATACAGTTTGAGATAATAACATCTGCATGAGCATTATACTTCAAAAATATTTATTTAAAATATTAAGCCTTAGAGTATAAATATAATGTGAGTTAAGGATGATAATTTATTTTGCCTGTGTCATCTTCTTGAAATTTTCAGAGGCCCTAAGTTCCAATCAGAGGCACCCACTGGCCATGCTTTTTGTTCCAAGTTTTGTCAGGTTCACCTGATTCCTGTTGTTTAGGTTCAGAAGGCACTGAGAATATGACAGTGTCTAATACTAAGGATATTGCTGTCCTCTTGGTAAAAGGTATCAGATGACTGAGAAATGTACCAAATCTTGTCTATTAGAACATGGAGGTGCAGAGACAGGTGACTTCAAGGAGTAGAAGGGCCTTTAACTGCAAGCTGGGTGACATCCCACTTAATGTTCTTCCTGTTCCCTCTCTCAAAATTTGTGAGAGTTTAGCTGTTCCAATTTGCTGGTGATTTATTTTCCTGCTCTTGCAAAAGTGTCCTAAAAGGCTTCTGAATGTTCAGTTTCTTCCCTTTTACATGGAAGCCAGTTTTTGTTTTTTTGTTTTAGGTGTAATCAAAACTCATTGCCAAGGTCTATAAACCCTTATTTATTTATTTTTAATTTTAATTTTTTAAATATAATTTTATTTAGTTTTTATTTTTATTTTTATTTTATTTAGTTATTTTTCAAGTACAGTTTTTTGTCTATTTCTCCCAGCCCAGCCGCACCCCCGCCCTGTGTTCCCGCCTCCCTCCCATTTCCACCCCCCTTAGTTCTCGTCCCTGTGTCCTTCATATTTGTTCCTCCAAATCCCTCCCCCTTTTCCCCCTTAAATTCCCTTCCCTCTTCCCTCTGGTCACTGTCCCCTTGTCCTCTATTTCAGTGTCTGTTTTTATTCTGTTTGCTTGTTTGTTTTGTTGTTTAGCTTCCTGTTAAAGGTGAGATCATATGATGTTTGTCTTTCAACACCTGGCCTATTTCACACAGCATAATGCTTTCCAGTTCCATCCACGTTGTTGCAAAAGGTAGTAGCTCCTTTCTCTCTGCTGCATAGAATTCCATTGTGTATATGTACCACAATTTTTTGATCCATTCATTTACTGATGGGCACCTAGGTTGCTTCCAACTCTTGGATATTGTAAATTGCGCTGCTATGAACACTGTGGTGCATAGGTTCTTTGAAATTGATGTTTTAGGATGCTTGGGATATAATCCTAGCAGTGGAAGTGCTGGGTCAAAAGGCAGGTCAATTTTCATTTTTCTGAGAAAATTCCATACTGTTTTCCGTAATGGTTGTACCAGTCTGCAATCCCACCAACAGTGAACTAAGGACCCTTTTTCCCCACACCCTCTCCAACATTTGTTGTTTGTTGCTTTGTTTATGATAGCCATCCTGACTGGTGTAAAGTGGTATCTCATTGTGGTTTTAATTTGCATCTCTCTGATAGCTAACGATATTGAGCATCTCTTCATGTGTCTCTGGATATTCTGTATGTCCTCCTTGGAGAAGTGTCTGTTCAAGTCCTTTTCCCATTTTTTAATTGGGTTAGATGTCTTCTTAGAGTGGGGTCTTGTAAGTTCTTTATATATTTTGGAGATTAAACCTTTGTCTGAGGTATCATTGGCAAATATGTTTTCCCATACAGTTGGTTGTCTTTTTAATTCAATACTGTTTTCTTTAGCCAGGCAGAAGCTTTTTATTTTGATGAGATCCCATTTGACTATTCTTTCCTTTATGTCCCTTGCTCTAGGGGACATATCAGTAAAAATGTTGCTGCGTGAAATATCTGAGATTTCCCTGCCTATGTACTCCTCTACAAATTTAATGGTATCATAGCTTATATTTAAGTCTTTTATCCACCTTGAATTTATTTTTTGTGTGGTGTAAGTTGATAATCGAATTTCACTGTTTTGCATGTAGCTGTCCAGTTCTCCCAATACTATTTGTTGAAGAGACTATTTTTACTCCATTTTGTGTTGCTGCCCCCTTTGTCAAATATTAATTGACTCTTGAGACTTGGGTTTATTTCTGGGCTTTCTGTTCTGTTCCATTGGTTTATGTGCATGTTTTGATGCCAGTACCAGGCTGTTTTGATTATAGTGGCCTTGTAATACAGTGTGGTATCAGGAATTGTGATCCCTCCTATTTTGCTCTTCTTTCTGAAAATTGTGGCTGCTATTTGGGGTCATTTATGGTTCCATATAAATTTTTGAAGTGTTTGTTCTATGTCTCTGAAATATGCCATCTGTACTTTAATAGGTATTGCATTGAATCTCTAGATTGCTTTGGGTAGTATGAAAATTTTGACGATATTAATTCTTGCAATCCATGAACATGGTATATGTTTCCATTTGTTTGTGTCTTCCTTCATTTCTTTCTTCAGTGTTGTATAGTTTTGTGCATACAGGTCTTTCACCTCATTGGTTAGGTTTATTTCTAAGTATTTTATTTTTCTTTTTGCTATATGGGATGGTATTTTTATCTTGATTACTGCTTCTGCTTGTTTCATGGTTGGTATACAAGAACATCTTTGATTTCTGGATATTGACTTTGTATTCTGCTGTTTTGCCAATTCATTTATTAGGTTGAGCAGTTTTTGAGTGGAGTCTATAGAATTTTTCATGTACACTATCATT